GTCAATAACTGTGAACACTTGGGCTGTGGGAGGTACCCCTGCAAGCAGGGTGTGGGGGTTTGGTACAATGGGGGTTTCCAAAATAGTTGCCTCATTGACTGCTCTCAGATCTTGAACCATGCGATATTTGGTGGGCTCACCTTTTGGAGTTCTTTTCTTCACTGGGAAAAGGGGTGTATTGCATGGGGACACACAGGGAATTAATGCCCCATTTTCCAGAAGTATATTGACTTGTTTGGAGATGGCGTCCATCTGGGCTTGCTTCAGAGGGTATTGAGGCTTCCGTGGCAATGGTGCTCCAGGCTTAAGCTGGTCTAACACTGTAGTAACTTTCAGATGGCCAATATCCTCAGGTCCGGTGGACCAAAAAGTGAGTGGCAGCTCCTGTAAGGCCTGTTCTACATGGTCTGGCAAGGGGCGGCCTGAAACTTCCGGAGGATGTCCCTCAATGGGAACAGTGGCCTTTGCTAGGGGCCCACTAGCACCATATCCATGAAAAGAAACTGTCATAAGGGGAGTGGACACAGGCTTGCCCCTGTCCTATTGGAGAAGGTTCAAATGTTCTTGGGTAGGACCTGTGCGTGTTGGTCCTGGAAGCGGTGGAGGTGGTGGCATTGCAGACTCTTCCCACCCTGAGTTGGCCCCATTTTCTAGAAACTCTCTCTCTCTCCTCCACCAGTTCACAAGCAAAAACTGTTCTCTGGCTTTATAAGTTTTTGTCCCATTTTGTTTTTTTCCCTCCCGGGGACCCTAAGGTGGTCCCCAAAGCCGTCACTCTGTTCTGAAAGTGCTGTGCCGTGAGACAGTGTAACCCGCGCAGCACTTTGCCCCCTGCTTCTCCTCCAGTAACTTCCCTATTTTCCTGCTACACTGAGAATAATGTACATTAACCCTGTAAACCAATATATCAGGAGCTACGATTGTCACTGTACTACTACTTGTACTAATCCCCACACTTTCGTGGTGTACACCAAACATTAATCCACATACACAGTGTGATCATGACATAGTATTTCAGACACGCCTGTCGGGAGTAAAATGTTTGTTTTTTTTTTTTTTTTTTTTTAGTTTTCTTTTTCCCCCACAAGCCAATCCCTGGCTGTGGTTTTTTCCCCTGTGTCGCCATTACTGCGACTACGAGTTTCCCCTCGACAGTCACCATCACTGCGAGTGCCCGGCACCCTCTCTCAAATCAGAGTGTATCCTGTCCACTCCTGACGAGGAATATTTTGCCGTAATTCTCCCCTCCCTCACAGGCGCATCAACAACAACCCAACCAATCACACTGGTACACACAGACAACACAAAAGACAAGACATATCACACTGGTAGATGATGTTACACTGACAGGTGGGTTCAAAGGAGCCCCGGGCAAGTATACCTGACTTTGCTGATCAACGGACAGCCAGACGGGTGAGTAGTCCCGCTGGGCAATTCCAGACTACGCAGGTAAGGAATTATTAGACATAAAAATTCACTTACCGCTTTTGGAGGTGATCAGTCTCCGCGTCTGGAATGCTCCACGGTCCCCCTCATCCACTCTGGGTCGGGCTGAGCCGGTGTTTTCAGAACCCGAGCCCCACGTTGGGCGCCAAATGTCTTGGACTAGGTCACTTACAGACCATTTATTGTGATCTACCAGTGAGCCAAATTAATATGAGAATACGTGCACGTGGAAGTAAGACACTGACACTTCGCAGTTTGCCAACTTCCTAAAATTCTGTTTTATTGAGGAACTAACAGTATCATTTATAGGGCATATGATGCAGGCAAAGCATATACATTGATTGGGTGAAAAGTCCACTGGGTTTCTGCGTGTTCGTCCATCCGTGTTGATATCTTCCAATCATTGTCCCCAAAGAGACTCATTCCCTTTTATGGGGGTTGTTTACATTAAAAGATACTTTTCTCCTAATGAGTCACCAAGGGCGAGACTCCGGATGAAGGCGCCATCTTAATTATCATCATTGTTCTGTCAACCTATATCTGATTGTTTACTTAAGAGAGTAAGGAATTTAAAGAGCAAGATACAGACAGTAGCAAGACTATAAAATTGTCATTTTACTGATCATCTAATAAAACGTGGACTGTCAATCACAATCCACTACACCCAGAGGTCAATAAATACCACCAAAATAAAGCTCTATCTGTCACAAAAAAATGCTAAAAATTTCATATGGGTACAGTGTTGCATGTCCGCGCAATTGTCATTCAAAGTGCAACAGCGCTGAAAGTTGGAAATTGGCCTGAGCAGGAAGGGGGTATAAGTGCCCTGTAGGCTAGTGGTTAAAGAAGAGCAGTAGATCTATGCATTTGTACCTTTTTTAAAGGACCAGTTCAAGCAGTTTTTACCCAGAAACTAAAATTTAATATATTGCAGCTTACAAATCCTTAAATGTGGTGGCTGCATTAGTTTCCTTTTTTTTTTTCTTTACTTTTACAAGGTTATCTGATGAGTAAGCAGTCTCCACTCTGGATGGAGGAGCAACAGACGCCTTTTAAACAGGAGCTTTGTCAATTTTGGGAAAGGACAGTTTTAGATGCACTTTACATAAATGACTAACAACTTCCCAAACTCCAGCTAACACTTTTTATGCAGTTACAGCAGCATTTTTTTCCTTTTGGAATAAAGGCTTTAACCACTTGTCCTCCAGAGGATTTACCCCTTTTTTTTGATCAGGCCATTTTTTGCGATATGGCACTGCTTTACTTCCGCGGTCATGCAACTCTGTATACAATTTTAAAAAAAAAAACTATTTTTTGACTTTCTGCTATAAAACATCCAAAAAATTTTAAGAAATTTTAAAAATCTAATTTTTTCACAAATTTAGGCCAAAATGTAATCTGCTACATGTCTTTGCTAAAACAAATCACAACACGTGTAAATTGGTTTATGTGAAAGTTATAGCATCTACAAATGGTGTATATATACTCATATTTTTTTGACACTAGTAATGGCAGTGATCAGTAACTTATAGCTGGACTGCGGCGGGCTTTCTGACACTGGGTGGGAACTGACTAACTGCCACTGACATCCTCAGTGACACTAATACAGTGATTACTGCTAATAAAAAGCACTGACACTGTACTAATAACACTGGGCAGGAAGGGGTTAACGTTTGGGCAATCAAAAGGTTAACTGTGTGTGTGTTACTGTGCTGTGTTTTGCTGGGGAGGCATACTGTTTTGTATTTCTCTGCTGTGCTGAGAAATACAAAACAGCATGTCCTTGCTGGCAGGAAAGAGACCTATTGTTTACACACTTTCTCTCCCCTGTCAGCTTTGCATGGCGAATGCCGGGTGTTGGTGGGGAATCTCCAGCCGGGACCCAGTGATTGACATGCTTACCTGCCAATGGCGGCATGGGTTAGGGAGCGCTTGTGCCGCCCATGGTGGCGTGGGTAGGGAGCACAAACATTTTAACCTGCCAAAAATAATTTCCAAATATGAATAAGCTGTTTTGTGATTCACACACCTCTGTCGCCTTGCATAAACGGGGATGACTCTGGTACTTTCAGCTTTAAAGAGACCACGGGGATTGCCCATTCAGGAACAAGCTTTGTCACATGGGTGAGGGTAAGCTCCGACATACCTGGAAGCACTGTTCTGTTACATAGTCTGGCTGAAAAAAGACAAAAGTCCATCCAGTTTAACCATTAAAAAAAAAAAAAAGTTATAATCCTATACCCACAGTTGATCCAGAGGAAGGCAAAAAAAACATTAAAGCTTGAGCAAATTTGCTCCTGCAGGAGAAAAAAATTCCTTCCTGATCCCCCGAGAGGCAATCGGATATTCCCTGGATCAACTTTACTTTTAAATGTTAGTATCCAGTTATATTCTGTGTATCCAAGAAATAATCCAGGCCTTTTTTAAGCAATCCACTGAGCTGGCCAGAATCAACTCTTGAGGGAGACTATTCCACATTTTCACAGCTCTTACTGTGAAGAAACCTTTTCGTATTTGGAGATTAAATTTATTTTCCTCCAGACATAAAGAGTGCCCCCTTGTCCTCTGTGATGACCTCAGGGTGAATAACTCTACACCAAGTTCACTATATGAACCACTGATGTATTTATACATGTTGATCATGTCCCCCCTTAATCTCTTCTCATAGCTGAGCTCTCCCATGCCTCTTATCAGTTTGGTTGCCCTTCTCTGTACTTTCTCTAGTTCCCCAATGTTCTTTTTGTGAATTGGTGCCCAAAACTGAACTGCATATTCCAGATGAGGTCTTACTAATGATTTGTACAGGGGTAATATGATATCTCTCTCTGGAGTCTATACCTCTTTTAATACAAGAGAGGATTTTGCTTGCTTTAGAAACCGCAGCTTGGCATTGCATGCCATTATTAGGCTTGTGATTTACCAGAACTCCCAGATCCTTCTCCACTATTGATTCCCCCAGTTGCCCCCCCCCCCCCTAGTATGTATGATGCATGCATATTCTTAGCCCCCAAGTGTATAACCTTACATTTATCAACATTAAACCTCATTTGCCACATAGTTGCCCAATTAAACAGTGCATTGAGGTCGGCTTGCAAGTTGGAGACATCCTGTTCGAGCGGTGAGGTGACAAATTAGCATGGATTGAGGCATGACATTGTTGGGGGCAATCAGGAGACAGTGTTTGCCTGGAATAGATAATGTGATAGTAAAGTTTCTTGCCTGCTGGTGATTGACGCTGCAGAATTGTCCTTTAAGCAGGCTGAGAGATAAATTGTGAAGTCTTGTAGTTCATATAGAACAGTCCTCTTTCTGACTATGCAGTGTGGCAGAGGTGTGTGTAAAACTGGCTAAACAGAATTACAAATAATATGGCAATTGTAAAATAGCACACACACATTTTTCATGTTTCTGATTGTTTCCATTCTGATTTAAAGCACTAGGACATGTTACACATGCGCAGTACGTGACATAAACAAATACATAGTTATCTGTTGCTAGGTCCGTTTTCCTGGCTTTTGTTACATTATAACATATCATTGTTTTTTTCTTTACAGCGTCAGAAGGCTGTCAACCTAAATGTTGTCATTGCAGACCTAAGCAGTGACTTCCTATTCGGATCCACCTTGCCTAATAGAATTGAGATAAATGCTATACCTGATCACATTCGCTCTCACTTTGCCAGGGATGGGAAGCACCTGCAAATCGGTGGCTTGCATGCAGATTCTCCCAATGATCTGGTAAGTGGAGAGTAAATACTTTTTGCAAAGGTTTAGAATAAAATCTCTAAACCTTTAGTCGCTTCTACGGTCTTTAAGAAAGAGATCACAATTGCAGCAACTGTTTAGATCTGCTGTTTGTGGATATCATGTCTAATAATTGCCTGGAAGTCCAGCACAAATATAGACAGTTCTAGTGCTTCAGCCTGAGATGAAGGTTAGGGTAAGGCTGTATGCTATATTACATAGTTCAGTGTTTCGCAACCTTTTTCCAATCGGGGCGCCCTTGAAAAGTATTTTCAGTTACGAGGCACCCCTGTCCAAGGCTTGGTTCACGTTACTCACGTGTGTCACAGAAACCCGTGCAAAATCGCACTCATTCCTGACACGCAGACAAATGCTTTGCTCTTTAGGGGGGTACCCTCATAAATTGGCAAATGTGGGGTGTTTTTGGTCTGGTGCTACTTTAAAACAAGGATCAGGGATGACTTTCCCTGCATTTCTGTGGGTAAGGCAGCCCATTGAAATGAATGAGCTGCCCTGCACACAGCCACACAGATGTGAACCAAGGGCCTGTTCACCTGTTAGGTTGGAGGGTGGTAAAACCACACAATGGAGCTGCTTACCACCCCCAACTGCTTCCTCTTTAGCTGCAGAAACAGCAGCTGGAGGTATACACATGCTGTTGCCCCAGCTGGAAGTATACCTCCAGGGTAATGGGGTTGAACTACAACCACCCTGCAACTGTGTGCGCATTGCACGCAGTTGTGGTGTGGTGATTGATGCTGCTCTTTACGCGGTTAAACCAGGTGGTGAGGAGGCTACATATTGCCTCTTTACTACCTGTCAGATGCCTCTGAAAAGAAATCTGAGAATGGATTTCTTTTCAGAAGAGCATCAGTCCTTGCTGCTATTACAAACAAGTCCTAAAAAAAAGCAGTTCTGAAAGGACAAGAATAGGGGGTCGAGATTAAAAGTAAAATACATTTATACACATATAAAAACAAACACACATATGTACACACACGTACGTAGACGTACATACTCATGTACACACACATACATGTACACATACACAGGCACAGGTTTACAGCATTATGAAAAGTTACAGTACCTTAGCGTCCATCACACAGCCAGGTACTGCACTCTAGGGGGAAGCAGAGAGCACAGAAGACACTCCCCTTCCCTTTGCTTTCACTTTGCTCAGTGGTGTGATGGCTTCCAGTGCCGACGTACAGTGCGGCTGGGGATTAGGAGCTCGGGCCCAAGTGACATCCATTCTCCCCACGGCACCCCTGAAGACCTCTGGCGGCACCCCGGTTGAGAAAGGTTGACATAGTTACATAGTTAGTCTGGCTGAAAAAAGACAAAATCCATCCAGTTCAACCATTAAAAAAAAAAAAAAAGTTGTAATCCTATACCCACAGTTGATCCAGAGGAAAGCATACAAACCCCAGCAAAGTATGATTCAATTTGCTCCTGCAGGGGAAAAAAATTCCTACTTTATCCCCCTAGAGGCAATCAGATATTCACTGGATCAACTTTACCTATAAATGTTAGTATCCAGTTATATTCTGTGTATCTAGGATACAATCCAGGCCTTTTTTAAAGCAGTCCACTGAGCTGGCCAGAACCAACTCTTGAGGGAGTCTATTCCACATTTTCACAGCTCTCACTGTGAAGAAACCTTTCCGTGTTTGCAGATTAAATTTCTTTTCCTCCAGACGTAGAGTGCCCCCTTGTCCTCTGTGATGACCTCAGGGTGAATAACTACACCGAGTTCACTATATGAACCGCTGATGTATTTATACATGTTGATCATATCCCCCTTAATCAATAAATTCAGTTCCTCTAATCTGTCCTCATAGCTGAGCTCCTCCATGCCTCTTATATTGGTTGCCCTTCTCTGCACTTTCTCCAGTTCCCCAATGTTCTTTTTGTGGATTGGTGCCCAAAACTGAACTGCATATTCCAGATGAGGTGTTACTAATGATTTGTACAGGGGTAAAATGATATCTCTCTCTCTGGAGTCTTTTAATACAAGAGGATTTTGCTCGCTTTAGAAACCGCAGCTTGGCATTGCATGCCATTATTAAGCTTTTGAACTCCCAGATCCTTCTCCACCATTGATTCCCCCGGTTGTACCCCCCCCCCCCCCCCAGTATGTATGATGCATGCATATTCTTAGCCCCCAAGTGCATAACCTTACATTTATCAACATTAAACCTCATTTGCCACATAGTTGCCCAATTAAACAGTGCATTGAGGTCAGCTTGTAAGTTGGAGACATCCTGTAAGGACGTTATTCCACTACACAGCTTGGTGTCATCTGCAAAGACTGAAATGGTATTTATAATCCCAGACCCTATATTGTTTATAAATATATTAAAAAGTAAGGGTCCCAACACTGAACCTTGGGGTACACCACTGACAACCCTAGACCATTCAGAGTATGAATCATTTACCACTACTCTCTGAATACGATCTTTTAGTTTTCTACCCATTTACATACTGATTTTTCCAAGCCCGTAGACTTTACCTTACATATTAGCCGTGTGTGGAGAACTGTGTCAAACCCTTTTGCAAAATCCAAGTATACCACGTCCACCGCCACCCACTCTGTCCAAGATCTTGCTCACCCCCTCATAAAAAGAAATCAGATTTGTTTGACAACTTCTGTCTTTCATGAATCCATGCTGTCTGTTGCTTAAAATATATTTTCCAGCATGAACTCATCTATGTGGTCTTTTATTAAACTCTCCTGTATCTTCCCAACTATAGAAGTTAAACTAACAGATCTATAATTACTTGGTAAAGATTTTGACCCCTTTTTAAATATTGGCACCACATTGGCCTTACACCAATCCAGTGGTACTATGCCACTCAACAAGGAGTCCCTAAAAATTAAAAACAATGGCTTTGAAATGACAGAGCTCAATTATTTAAGGACCCGTGGGTGTATGCCATCCGGTCCAGATGCTTTATTCACCTTTTATTTTGTCTAAATATTTTTGGATCATATCAATTGTGCGCCAGTGTGGATCATCTGGAGCTGCGTCAATACCATGCCCATTATGGACAAAAGCTCCCCCATGCTCCTTTTGTGTACAGAGAGCTGAAGAAGGTATTTAATAAATTTTGCCTTCTTTGTCCCCAGTCACCCACTCTAGATTATTTTGTAAAGGGCGCGGACTGGATCTTTTTACTATTAATATATTTGAAGAATTTTTTGGGGTTGGTCCTGCTATCTTTTGCAATCTGTCGTTCATTTTCCATTTTTGTGGCCTTTATTTCCTTTTTGCATATTCTGTTATATTCTTTGTAATGCTTCTAGGATGATAGCGTTCCTTCGTTTTTATACTTAATAAAAGCTCTTTCATTATTATCTATAGCTTTTTTAACTTTGGCTATAAGCCACATAGGTTTGATTTTTAACCTTTTAAACTTGTTGCCCATGGGAATATATTTTGCAGTGTGTTCCCATACATTTGTTTTGAAGAACTCCCATTTCTGTGTTGTGCTCATTGATGCCAATATTCCCTCCCAGTCTAAGTCTTGGAGAGCAGCTCTCAGCCTTGGAAAATTAGCTCTCTTAAAACTGAGCATTTTTATTTTTCCCGTATGTGCTTGCTGTTTACAGCTAACAATAAATGAAATCATGTTATGGTCACTGCTACCCAAATGTTCTTTTTTATGAAAATTTGTAATAAGCTCTGCGTGGTTTGAGATTATTGATCCCCTATGTGATCGCAATAAAATCATAAGTTAACCTCCCTGGAGATATTCCCGAGTGTAGCTCGGGGTAAAGTTTCAGCACCACAAGCGGTAACCCCGAGCTACACTCGGGAATACCCTGTAGCGCTGCTTCGGGATCTCTTCTTCACTTATCTTGTCCTGCGCTCCCGCAATGTCCCCCCTGTTGCATCCCTGGCAATGTCCTCCGGCCGATGCCGGCATCTGTCTTCCAGGTTCCGTTCCCTGCGACGTCAGGACGTACGGGGATGGAATTGGCTGGAAATTTTAAAATTTTAAAAGTGACATTCACTAAATTCACTAAAATCACATAGTAAAACATTACTGTATCAAACCATTTAACATACATGTTGTCCCTAGTGCTTTGTCCTGTGCCCTGCCTGCATTTTTACTGTTCTTTCTGCTTGGAAACTGAGAAAAGTCCATGGCGTCCAAAAAGCGTCCCTTTAGGTCAAAAGCGGTTTTAGACCAGGTAGAGAACAGCGATAGTAAATTAGAACCACTTGCAGAATTGAGTGATAATGATTTGTGGGGAAATTCGTCATCAGACACTGAAAACGATTTTGCGACTTTGCTCAGTGATGTGCGAACTTGGCGCTATATTTCAAATTTCAGTGTTTGTGATTTGATTATATTATTGAATTAAATTTATTATAATATTTTTTTTTTATGATTATTTATTAAATTATAATTTATGATTTTTGTGTTTCAAATTTTAACCTACCCGGGATGTTTACTAGACTCTTGTTCGGACAGATTTCAGTGAGTTATTCCAAAAAATTACAGGCCTACAATAAAAAAACTACATATTTCCATGCAAAAAAATGTACCGCTTTGAGCACAGAAATATGGACATAATCAGACTGCTAGGGAGGTTAAAAAAAAAAAAAATATGTGTATATATATATATATATATATATATATATATATATATATATATATATATATATACACACACACACACAGTGGGGATCGAAAGTTTGGGCACCCCAGCTAAAAATTTGTATTAATGTGCATAAAGAAGCCAAGGAAAGATGAAAAATCTCCAAAAGGCATCAAATTGCAGATTAGACATTCTTATAATATGTCAACAAAAGTTAGATTTTATTTCCATCATTTACACTTTCAAAATAACAGAAAACAAAAAAATGGCGTCTGCAAAAGTTTGGGCACCCTGCAGAGTTAATATCTTGTACTGCACCCTTTGGCAAGTATCACAGCTTGTAAACGCTTTTTGTAGCCAGCCAAGAGTCTTTCAATTCTTGTTTGAGGTATCTTTGCCCATTCTTCCTTACAAAAGTCTTCCAGTTCTTTGAGATTTCTGGGCTGTCTGTCACGCACTGCTCTTTTAAGGTCTATCCATAGATTTTCAATTATGTTGAGGTCAGGAGATTGTGAAGGCCATGGCAAAACCTTCAGTTTATGCCTCTTGATGTAATCCCCCGTGGATTTCGAGGTGTGTTTAGGATCATTATCCATTTGTAGAAGCCATCCTCTCTTTAAGTTCAGCTTTTTCACAGATGGCATCAAGTTACCATTATCAAATTTGCTGAAATTTTATTGAATCCATTTTTCCTTCTACTCGTGAGATGTTCCCTGTGCCACATGCTGCAACACAACCCCAAAGCATGATTGATCCAAGCCCATGCTTAACAGTTGGACAGAGGTTCTTTTCATTAAATTCTGTGCCCCTTCTTCTCCAAACGTACCTTTGCTCATTCCGGCCAAAAAGTTCAATTTTAACCTCATCGGTCCACAGAACTTGTTTCCAAAATGCATCAGGCTTGTCTATATGTTCATTTGCAAAGTTCAAACAATGATTTTTGTGGTGAGGACGTAGAAGAGGTTTTCTTCTGATGACTCTTCCATGAAGACCATATTTGTACAAGTATCTCTTTATAGTGGAATAGTGTACCACAACTCCAGTGTCTGCCAGATCTTTCTGGAGGGATCGTGCAGTCAAACGTGGGTTTTGAATTGTTTTTCTCACAATCCTGCGAGCTGTTCTGTCTGATATTTTTCTTGGTCTTCCAGATGTTTCTTTAACTTCCACTGTTCCTGATGACTGCCATTTCCTAATTACATTCCGAACAGAGGATATTGACATCTGAAAACGCTTTGCTATCTTCTTATAGCCTCCTCCAGCTTTGTGAGCGTCAACTATTTTCAGTTTCAGTTTTCTAGACAACTGCTTAGAAGAACCCATGGTGCTGATTGTTGGGGCAAGGACAGATGAGTCTGGGCATTTAAAACCTTTGAGATTGACATCACCTGGTCTTCCCAGACAATGATTGAGAACAATCCATGACACTGGCAGGTCTCAGCTTGGCAAAGGGGGCAGTGCATGCTATAAATTCTGCAGGGTGCCCAAACTTTTGCAGACGCCATTTTTTTGTTTTCTGTTATTTTGAAAGTGTAAATGATGGAAATAAAATCTAACTTTTGTTGACATATTATAAGAATGTCTAATCTGTAATTTGATGCCTTTTGGAGATTTTTCCATCTTTCCTTGGCTTCTTTATGCACATTAATACAAATTTTTAGCTGGGGTGCGCAAACTTTCGATCCCCACTGTATATATTATACACATGAATGTAGGGGGAAAAAAATTGGAGCCTCCCCACGCCCACATACGCAGACATTTCAGTTCGGTCTTCGGCCACATGCATTCTGAATTTTTGGTATCGGTTTCGGTGCCAGAATTTTAATTTCGGTGCACCACTAGTTGTAAAGGCTTATAGTTTTTTACCTTTGTGAATTCTATGCTTGAAGGTAAAAAAAACCTTCTGTGTGCAGCAGTGTCCCCAGCCCCCCTAAAGCTTACCTGAGCTCCATCCCAATCCAGCGACGTGCACAAAAGCTTTGGCTCTCCTCGGTCTCTCCCTCATTGACTGAGACAGCAATCACAGCCAGTGAGCCAATGTGTAGGGGTCGGGGCTGAGCCGGGTGACCCCATAGCATGCTGCACTAGGTAGGAGGGGAAAAACCATTGCACAGAGCAGGTAAGTATAACATGTTTGTTTAAAAGAAAAAAAAAAAAACACCATACCTTTAATGTCATGTTAAGGCATCCTCTAGCCCTGGGGACTCCAAACTTTCTTAGCAAAGGAACAGTTTACTGTCCTTCAGGCTTCAGGAGGCTGAACTTTGTCCAGGGGAAGTAAAAAATGCCCCAGCATCAATGCCCTATTATTGTGTTTTTAATGGGAGGAATAGTCCCTTGTTGTCAGTAGGGTCAGTTGGTGAAATAGTGCCCCAAGAGCCAGATAAAGGCAAGCAAAGGGCCCCAGTTTGGAGGCCACTGCTCTAGCCTAATGTAATCTTTTGTATGTTTAATGATATTCTATATTGAAGAAGTTTACTGCTGGATAGACCTTTGTTGTTGTTTTTTCAAATATTAACTAGGCAATGTGAATATACAAACCCATGCTCAACTGCTGATTCAGCTTCTTGTGGCTGAAGACCAGTGCTCTGGCAAAAGTGTTCCTGCATGTAAGCAAAGTAATCCATAATGGAATTAAGCCGACACACTGTACAATACTTAAAATCAAAAATCTTTATTGACTAACCACATTAAAGTGGTTCAAAAGGTTGTAATTGAAAATAACCTGTTATACCGTATAGATTATACCGATCCTCTTCTTTTTGGACCCCTGCTGACAGTCCTGGCTCCTTCCCCTGGCTGAGTGCCCCCAATTACAAGCCTCTTAATATGGAGGAACTCGAACATGCTTGCTCCCGAGCCGCATTTCTGTGAATGGACATCGTCCATTCACAAAAAGAGCTTGGCTTGGGCCCTGCCCCCTGCTCTGTCCTTTTTCCTTCATACTGTATATTTTTTCATGAATTCATTTCTTGAAAAGTCCTACATTTCTTTGCTTTCGGGTTTAGTTAATTTAGAGATATGGGTATGATTGATTGGTTTTGTTTAGCACTAGACTCCTATCGCACTGTAGCTCTGCGATTTAGCCCGAGTAGGGATGACACATGTCTGGAAGAGTTCTGGAGCAATGTTTGTTTGTAACTTCCTGGGAAGCAGTGTGTGGTTCTATACCATAAGTGTTTGATGACTCCTACCATAGTTTGGATGGTTGTTAAGCAATCTGGAAGCAAACGGCACTCTTGTCATTTTCACCATTTCATGTTGGTTACTAAAGGTTGGTACACATGGATTGAAATTCGACTGGTTCAGCGGGGGCTGGCCAAATTTTGATCTGTGTGAAGCCCTCCCTGTTTGAGAGAAGATGATTGGTAGATCAACTTGTGTTAAATGGGGCTGTCGGAAAACTTTCATTCGCTCAGCCACTGCATTCTGCCAATTAGCTGCAGCACTGATCAGTGTATTCTGACAGTGGAGGAGTTCTCACTGTCAGAATACAGTAGTACAGTGGGGAAGATTCACTTGTGTGAATAGGGGAATCCATTAGTTTTTTTGTTTTTCACTCGACTCGGTTGAACGAAAAAAAACTTGGCGTGTATACCCAGCTTCAGTTGTGTGTTTTGAACTTATTATTTCGCATCACTTCTTTATAACATGTTGCTGGAGTTTAGAAAAGTTGGTAGTATTGGTTAACATTTTTTTTTTTTTCTTTGTTCTTTTTTTTTAGCTACGGGAAGCAGCCTACAAGATTTTCCTTTACCCAAATGCCAGGCAATTGACATGTTTGGAGGAATTGCTCAGTAGTAGGAATGATTTGGCCCAGCTTGTTGGATTCCCAACATTTGTTCACAGAGCATTGTTGGGGACCATAGCTAAAACTCCAGGTAAAGTGGTCTGCTAACCTCAAAATTAACACCAGGAGCCCATTATTATTTTAATTTGTACATATTATTAATGGTTACTTTTAAGCAACCAATCCGCAGTCAAACTTTGACTGTTATGAGCTAAACTATGGGCATCTGATTTTTGATTGCTTAAGTTCTAAAACCAGATTTAATCTGTGTTTTCTATTCTTGATTTATGTAAAAAGTTTCTGACTGAAAAACAAAAGATTTTATAGTGAAACCAAATTCTAATTTTAAAAAATGCACATAGTCAGGCATTTTATTGCAGAATAGACATAAAATGTCTCTTTTACAAAAAATAATCTTACCTGTCTGTTCACAGTCCTCTTTAAGACTCCATTTACACCTACGTAGATGTGATGGAGCACGCATGTGTTGGTCTGTTCTACACATGCAAAAACAACAGTACCATAAATGTATGCTGAGCTGAGCAGGTCTCATACCTGTTGACAGTTTTTTACTGTTTAGGTTTAAAGTGCTTTGTAAACCCTCACCTTGAAAAAAAAACAACCCTTTCAGTTTATAATTTATTTTCATATCTATACACATGTTTTGCCTTTCATTTTTATTTTAAACACCTCCCTCACTTTTTGTAAGTGATTTAATTCCCTCTGTTCTCAGCTGGATAAGTGCCACAGGAGGAGAAACAGCAGGACACTGATCTTCTCAGTGAATGGCTGTGCAGGGGAGGGGTGTCAGGAGAATGGGCTTAGTTCCCAGCTCAGCTACAGAACTGACCATGCTGTGCTCTCCTTCCTAGTGTGGTCAGTTTTTATTAGGAAAGCAGTGGTATAGGCAGCAACACCAGAGGTTTCGCACAAAGGAAGCAATACAAAGAGAACAGGATACTTTTTTGTGGTACAGCAGGCACATATCAGGAATATGAAATATTGGGTTTACATACTCTTAAATTATTTGTATATTTAAATGGGAATACTTGCATACATCAAGTAAAATGAAAATGAAACCTATGATAAAATTGGAATTAAAGAGTAAGTCCACAAAAATTTTGGATTTATTTTTTTAGTAAATGCTGCTGAGGTTAAACACACTGTGGTTGATTTACTCAAAGAATAGAGCATGTTCACTTTGGAAAGTTAATGTACACTTAGTTTAGTGAGTACAGTAATGCTGTCTGTGTTCACTTTAATCATTCAATCATGCACAAACAAAAATGCGTTTTCCTTCATCATACATCGTTCATCTTCATATACGATACGGTTATCCTGCCACCTTCAAATGATTGGAAACTGCCAAAAAAAAAGATCTGAAGTTCCCTTTTAGGCATTCCCCATTAGGCCAGGCTTAATTTTTTTGTTTGTTTTTTTTTAAGGCTGCTTTCACACTGATGTTGTGTTTTTTTTTTTTTTTTTTTTTTTTTTTCTTCTTCCGCTTTTGCATTCAAAATAGTCGAAGAAAAACCGTGTGATCATTTATTCCTGTGGAACTGTGCACACTTTTTTTTTTCTTTTCAAATTCCTGCTTGGTGCAGGTTTGGTGGGTTTAAAAAAAACCTCACCAAAAACGCACTTCTCCATAGAAATCAGTGGAAATGGAAAATGCTTCAAAAACACGTTTTTGGTGCATTTTTTTGAGTCATGTGTCCTTTTAAAAAATGTATCGCAAATGTGGTGTTTTTGCCGCAGATCAGTGTTCTTTGCCCTTTAGTGTCTCTAAAGGGCAAAGAACCAGAAACAATGGCTGGGAATTTGTGCCACTGGAACCCTTAAGATCTAAAAATCTAAAACCCTATTGGGGTAACTTGGTCTGTAACTGAACTGACCCTTTAAACTCTCTTAAGCCAAAACCAAGTTAGAAAAAAATCCACAGAAAACATACCACACTTTGTTTGGGGTAGGTTTGTGAACACCTTCAAGTCTCTAAAGAATATCTCTGGATTATACCAATTTTTCAGATTTTTTAAACGTCAGTAAAATCACTTAAAACAAGTTATTATTCACATCTATTGTTATAGACCTTATGAAGTTATTAATTTTAAAAATTCACAACAGGGGTAGAAGATTAGATTTGAGTTATTGTTGTGATCTTTAAAGATTTTGGAGATTAAATTACAACATAGTGCAAGCTGCTAGAGAGGTGAGTGTGGGCATGTGTTTAAGCTCTTTTGCGGCTTGTTGCGTATATGCAAATGGTAATGTTCACAGTCTGGGCACTTTTGCTCCTTAAATTCAGTATTTAAATACAGCTAGAAATGCGTATTTTAATCTGTATTTATATGAGCTTTCTGTACTCCTCTACACAACAAGACAGAGTAGGACAGTGAAGGTGAGTTAATTGGCCTGCTTTGCATTACATAGTTCTGCCAGTTTAGGGGCTTGTCTACTGTATATAGACCTTTGTTTTCCTGCATTTTAAGCATACATTAACTGTATGGCAGAAAATTCATATTGATTTTACAGTATAACTAAAGGCAACTTTTTTTTTAGTTTTGAATAGCGTAGAAAGGGTTTAGAATACTTGTCAGTTTTTATTGCTGTCTGTATCCCCGTTAGGGAGATTCACTCTCTGTATTTGTCCTTTTTACTGTTATCATTGAAATTGAAAGTAAAAGAAAAATACAAAATATTTGATTGTCCCCAAAAAAGTAATAGAAGAAAATCTTCCAATGGGGACACTAAATCTAGTGACCTGGAGGGCTCCAAGGATTTCCCTTTATTTTGCAGGAATTTCCTCTCACTTCCTGTTTGGCTATGGATGGCAAAAAAAAGGGTTATAATCCTCTCTTGCTCTATCCAAAATGGGGGGGTTTAAAGGTTTTGCCTATAGTTCTACTTTAATGGTGTAGTGTTGATTACCATTCAAAGGTGCCTTTGACCTGTTTATGTTGCATTTTTTTTTTTCCTTGTAAAATGCTGCATTTTCGATTTGAATGTATGTGCATTAGTCCAAAGTCTATCTTTCTGACTGGAGGAGGGAACAGAGTGATCACCCCATAAATTGTACAGCTTCTTTGTTGTCCAAGCTCAGTTGTGAGCAGGCTAGCTGAACAGAATTTCAGATTCTTTGACAGGTGGAATGTGTGTGAGGCTACTTTCACACTGCACCATTGTGAAAAAATGCAGTAAAAATGCAATTGTGTTTTTACTGCATTTCTGGTGGGTTTTGCATGTGTGAAAATAGGACGCGACTCAAAAAACGCACCAAAACGCGTGGACCAAAAAAGCAGTAAGCAGGACTTTGAAAAATGCAACAAACCCACAACTGACCAGTGTGATGAGTTCTATAGCATTTAATGGACATGTGTTTTTCTTCTGCTTTTTTTTTTTAAATTTAAAATCTGAAGAAAAACTGATCAGTGTGAAAATAGCCTAAGTATTTCAGCTCTGTAATTATCTGTTTGCCTGGGGTTCAACTTTAATGTGATATCTATTCCAGTTTGTGATAAAATTAGTTACTTGCAGTGAGATGCAAGCAGCGATCATGGCAAGTGTTAGACAGTCAACAGTAACTGAATTCAAACATACGTGGGACAAACATAGATCTATACTCAGACTAAAAGGTTTAAAAGAAAAAAATCAAAAAAGGAGGGGCAAGCTTGATGGACCACTTTGGTTGTTTCCTGCCATCAGTTTTCTGTGTTTCCTACCTTGTAACTAGCCATACTTTTTCACTTCAGGTCCACTTTACCTTTTAACCAATTTTGGTTAACAGTGATAAAGGGCAAAAATGTGCTAAAATTTTTTTCTTGTATTCTTGACAGAGACCGTAATGTTATTCCTTGAAAAATTATCCAGCAAATTACGCCAGCGGTAAGTTTTGTTTTAGTCAAAATGAAAATGCAAGCATTTACTGATCAGTGAATTTCTGTAAAGACTGTTGCTGGAGTTGGTACTTACCTGCATGCGGTTCATTCACAATCTGCTAAAAATCCTGCACATGATGCGGTTTGATAAAGAATATGGTCTAGAAAACAGTATAGGTGACACTATTCCTTACGGGAAGGCAATTCAAAACGTTTCATTGATCTGTTTTGTATTTTATGCAAAAGATTGAATCATACGGGGCTTAGAGGGGCAGGGGCCGGAACGTGGCGTTGGTCAAACACTAGGAGCAGGAGCTCCTGATGCCTGTAGCTGGAGAGCAACATCTGAAAACTCCCTCTTACCTGTCTGTCTGACTGGGCCTTCTATGTGATGGGTGGCAGACCGAGGGGGGGGGATGACGGTCACCCCGCTAGATGAGCTGGAGCCCCGCTTGTTGGGCAGAGCGGACAAGGCTGGGACCCAGGGAGCGCCCACGTGACAGAAGGAGAGCACCTTAGGAGCCACTGTGTGCGGAAAAGGAGACCGGCGTGAGGCTCGGGAGAGTGGTGGACGTAGCCCCAGTGGCGGAGGTGGAGCACACCAGTTACTACAGCCGAAACGGTACAGGATATCCACAGCCTCGCTATCCACAGAAGGTGACCCTACATCCACACATAGCAGAAAGGACGAGCAAGTGCTGTGGTCTCCCTTAAGTGGGACACAGATGGTGGGGGTGAGTTACTGCAAGGAGCGGCAAGTTTTTTTTTGCTTGGGTGGATGTTAAGGCGATATAGGAGGCTCTAAGGGGGTCCTGGGGACAGTAAAAGAAAAGAAAAAGGAATAAGAAAAAAGTGAGGGGTTACCCAATGGGTATGGAAGAAAAGGAGTGAGAGGTGGAATTCTTTCTGAAACTTTCTCTTTCTGATATACTGTGCCTTGTATGAGAGGAGGAAGGAAGTGAGCACTTCCCAGGACTTTTGGAATTAATCTGCAATTTGCCAAGGGGACTGGAATCGTAGTGATAAAGTGAGAAGCGGGAGGACTGGTAATAGCACTGTAATAATATGAAGAGCAGATCTGTTTAAGGAGGAGAGACAAAAACCCCCCAATCGAGTACAATAAGAAAATATATGCCTCCTCAGGAAAAAGTCTAGAAGGTCATACCCTTGAGAGACAGCAGGGAGTAGAGGGGAGTCATGACCTGGGAAATAATCGCGGAGATTAAACTAGAATATCATTAGGATCATCAAACCTGGATCAGATTAAAGAGCTAAATAATATGGAAAGTAGAACAGATCATGGAGATATAGAAGAACAAAGATCAAGTTTACAAATACCTACGAAAACAGAAATGGCAGAAATGTTTGCGAAATTATAACACGCCCTAAATGTGAAATGACCATATTACATAAGGATTTGGGACAAGCACTATCTCATTTGGAAGAGATGGAGGAAAAATTAGAGATACAAGCGCAAGTAATTACGAAGTTGAAACGCAGGTAGAAGACATGCATATGGAGCAAAGGAAACTGACATATAGACTAGAAGATCAAGAAAATAAGGATAGAAGAAACAACTTGTGGATTTGAAGTAACTTCAGGAGAAGATCTAGTGGCAGAAATGAGGAAAATACTTAACTCTATAATGGGTAGGCCAATGAGAGAATAATTGAAGATCGATAGAGTTCATAGGATTAAACGACCCCTGGGAGTAGCCCCAGAAGTTCCTAGAGATGTAATTGTGCATTTTCATCACTATGAAGACAAAGCTAACATTGGGAAGAGTTCCAGAAGTAAAATATGGAGGAGTGTGCTTGCAAATCTTTGTAGACATAGCAGCAGAGACTCTAACTAAAAGGAGAGTTTTGAAACTACTACTGGACTTGATGCGCAAGGGGAACGTCCGGTATAGCTGGGTATTCCCAGCATGTTTGAGCGGATGGAAAGATGAACAGTTGGCAAAGCTAAGGTTCCCAGAAGATCTAAACCCTTTTGTGAAAAACTGGACTTGAAGATAGTAGATGTTCCAGGATGGTCTGAAGGGACTAAGGAGAGTATAGAATTAAGGAAAAACAGGTGGCAATGGATTACTAAATAGAGAAAAGGATAGAGAGGTGATGGTTTAGTGCTCTTTTGAGTGTTTTTTTTTTTTCCTCTCCTCCTATATAGGGTATAAAGCTCAGACAGAGTTGGGAGAGGGGAGGGAAAAGAAAATGAAGAAGAAAGGAAAGGATTTAAAAGAAGGACGTCGAGAGGCTTAATATGACACGGGTCATTGTAAACTCAGGAAATACTGGTCCAGCTAGGTATAGGTGGTCCGAGTCCTACCCTGAAGAGGAATCGAAGGTGGAAAATTAGCTACAACTGATTCCCGGGCTAGAACATGGGGGGAGGGGAGTAGGGAGGGGTGGAAGGAGGGAAGGTAAAGGTCACCCTGAGGAAAATTTTCATCTTATTCCAATTTGAGTTGGTTGAGTTTTTTCATATAGATGGATAACAGACAAATAGAGAAGGAATGAATAAGTGTCATTTTATGACATACAATGTGAAAGGGTTAAATACCCCGGCTAAAAGGTATAAGATTCTTAGGGAAATTCATCAACATTTGACGGATGTGGTCTTCCTACAGGAGACACATTTATCTCAGGACACAAATGTTAAGTTATTTTCCGAACATTATCCTATATGGTTTTACGCGGACTCTCCTATTAAACGTGCAAAAGGGGTGGCAATTCGGATAGCAAAAAATGTCAGCTTTACTTTGGAAGATGGGGTGGTAGATCCAGGTGGTCGGTTCCTATTACTAAGAGGGAAACTACAAGGAGTAGAATGTACATTCGTGAACATCTACTGCCCTAATAAGAACCCGATTGTTTATTTGGAGGGTGTATTGAAAAACCTCATGGATTTTAAGAAGGGTCAGTTGATTGTGGCAGGACTCTTAATTTCTGTATGCACCCATGGATGGATACATCCTCACGGGCTTGGAGAGACAGAGGTAGTAGTCTAAAATCGATTAAAAAGAGGCATTTATCAGTGTCAATTGATGGACACATGACAAATTAAACATCCAAGAGATCAGGGCTACACCTTCTTCTCTCTGGCACATGTGGTGTACTCAAGGCTGGATTATATAATGATAGAACATAGGCATCTGGAGTCTTTGGTAAATTCTAATATTGAAGTAATGTCATCAGATAACTCACCTCTCACAATGAGATTAAAGTGGGGAAAGGAGGGAAACATAAGTAATATATGGAAATTAAATGAAACACTTATACAGGATCAGGAGACTGAGATAAGGCTAAGGAAGGAGCGCAATATTTTATGCTCAACGAGACTGAAGAGATACTGGTGGCGCCAGTATGGGAAGCATATAAGGTGTATGTTAGGGGCATTTTGATCTAGATAGGGGCCTAAAAACAGAGAGAAAGGGAAAAGAAAAGAAAACTGTTAACTAAGGAATTATATGATTTAGAACAATCACACAAAAAGAAAATAGATCCAGAGATACAACAGAAGGTAATTTTGAAAAGAGAGGAATAGAAGGATATTATGGAACCGGAAACAAGAAGAGTCTTGTAATAGGGTGGTTAAAGAAAGATATCAGTGGGGGAATAGACCAGGAAAACATTTAATGTGAAGGGTAAGAGAAAAGAAATCAAGGAACTATATAGAGAAAATTAAAGATGAGAATGGAGAAATGGTATATTCAACCACTGATATTGCTAAAACATTTCAAAAATTTTACAGCAACTATATGATATAAAACCTGAAAGAACTAGAGGGAGAAAGAGAAAGGAAAAGAGGCAATTATATGTAAAAGAGGTCGGATTGCCTAGGTTAGAGGAGGAGAGGTTGCTAGCTCTGGAAAAACCAATTTTGCTGGAAGAAATTAATGTAGCACTGAGAAGTACAGCTGCAGGAAAGAGCCCGGGCCAGATGGTTATACGCTATGATATTCTAGGATGTTCCAAGAGCAGCTTGTGCCCAAAATGTGCCTGTATATGAATGCATTGGGAGAGGGGATGGAAATGAGGGAAGAGTCGCTGCAGGCATATTTTTCACTTATACCGAAAGAGGGGAAAGATCCATCCCAATGTGCTAGTTATAGACCAATATCACTCTTAAATATAGACACAAAACTTATATGCAAAGGTTTTGGCAAATAAGATGTAGGATTGGATACCTATAGATCAGGTGGGATTTGTACCAGGGAGGGAGGGAAGAGACACCGGTTAAGATCATTGCTTCTGCTGCAAGAGAATATGAGAGAGATAGGTTCGGCGTTGGATGTGTCGATTGATGCTGAAAAAGCTTTTGATAGGGTGAATTGGGGATTTATGATTGACACGTTGGATGTACTAGAAATTGGACCTAGGATGATACAGTGGATTATAAAAATTGTATAGTTTTTCATCAGCAGCGGTGAAGGTCAATGGTTCATTGTCACAATTCTTTAGAATGTACAATGGCAGGGATGTCCACTCTTTCCACTGCTTTTTGTTATTTCTCTGCAACCACTATTGGCGACTGTTCGAAAAAGCACAGATGTAAAAGGAATCTCGATAGAAAATGTAGAGCAGAGAGTTGTGGCCTATGCAGTTGATATGTTATTTTATATTGTGAACCCCAGAGTAACATTACCTAACCTACTGAAGATCTTGAAAAATTGTTGAAAATTAATCCCTCAAAATCAGAAATATTAAACATTACAATTTCGAAGACCGAGAAACAGATTGTACAGAAAGCTTTCTCCTTTGTATGGAAAGAGAGAGAATTAAGTTGCTTAGGAGTAAAGCTTACCACTTCTCTAAAAAATTTATATCAAGTAAATTATATCCCATTAATAAATGAACTAAAGGAAGATTTGAAGAAAACCTCTATAGGGTCACTCTCCTGGGTGGGTCGTATAAATATAATAAAGATGGTTATAGTTCCGAAGATCCTGTATAGGTCCCATATGCTTCCAATATACTTACCGGGGTCCTTTTTTAGGATCATAAAAAAGATAAGTAAATACATATGGGTGAATAAAAAAAACCAAGGGTTAGCTATGGAGTACTATGTAGGGATAAAGTTAATGGGGTTTTAGGCGTGACGGGTTTTAGGAGATACTACCGTTCTGTGTTGATTTCATGAATATCGGACTGGATACATAATACACAAGGGTGAAAACATGGGTAAAAATGGAAAATACACTAAGTGGGTCAAAGTTACACAATATAATCTGGCCTCCACAACAGTATCGGATTTTTTTTGGAAAATACTAGCACTTTAACACGGAATGTTCTAAGAGAGTGGGATAGAATTCATAAGCAAATGGGGTGGGAGTATAACTCACTGTTAAGACCCTTGGAGGGAACAGATTTTTTTTGCTCCGGGGAAAGAAAACAGTGCAGGTAAATGGATAAAAGATAAAAATGCACGTTTGAAAAATATCACTGAAAATGTGGAATTATGTTCTTTTTTAGGTTTAAAAAATAAGAAGGATTTATTTGTTAGGTTAGACGAGTGGTGGTATCATCAACTGAGACGTTTTGTAGTAGCTCTCCCGCAGCCACTAAGAGTGGTGGAGAACATGTATCCATTAGAACGTCTTTTTAGTCAAGAAATAATACTTAAACATACTTCTTGTATTTACAAGATCCTTACTAGAGTATTGGGATTCGTTTCTCCACCGTTCCTGGGGAAGTGGGATAAAGCGCTTTGGAATAAAATTGGAGGAGCAAGATAAAAAGAAAATATTCAAGTTGACACATGGTGCTGTAGATATGAATATGGTAGAAATGAACTACAAATGCTTTGTAAGATGGTACTGTACACCTAGTGTGGCACATAAGCAATGACCACAGAGTTCACCTTTATGTTGGAGGGGATGTGGCAAAGAAGGAAGTACACATATATGGTGGAAGTGCCCTAAAATTCAAGAGTTTTGGCAAGGAATAATACAACAAATTCAGGAGATAACGGAATTATAATACCAAGCAATCATTGGGCCTGTGTATTTCACAATATGGATTTCACAGTGAAGTAATATAAGAATATGATAATATTTCATTTATTAAATGCAGCTAAAGGATTGATTCCTAAATTTTGGCAGAGAAGAGAAATTCCTAAAATGAAAGATTGGATTGACAGAGTGGAATACATATACAGGATGGAGGAACTGTACCATATTGGAGAGGATAAAATTAAAAAAATTTAGAAAAACATGGGAAAAATGGCTAAGTTATAAAACAACTAAGAGTTATTCAGAATTGATAGAAATGTGAGGGGGAAAGACTGAAGGTTTCTCCGTTTTTATTGAGTATTTCTGAGAGGTGGGGTAAGAGGTGGTGGATGGATGATAGAGGTTAATAGAGGATCAGGATGGATAGGACGTATAAACCTAGTCAAAAACGGTAATTATGCCTAAAAATACTGTTTAGATTTTCAAATGGTACCAATTAAAATTCCAGAGGCCTTCTTTAAGATAATGAAAAGAATGTTTGGAGGAATAAGAAACCCAGAATAGCATATGAAACATTGAGTAGGACTAAAGAGAAAGGGGGGAATGGGTCTACCAGATGTCAAGAGATATTATAAAGCAGTGGTTTTGGCAAGAAAAAATGACTGGACATTTAACCATAAGGGGAAAAGTTGGGTAACAATTGAAAATGATCTTAGTGGCACTAGATTGAGTCAGATGATATGGGTCCCAACACAGTTTTTAGGGGAATTAAAGAAAGCACAAGTATGTACACATTAAATGTTTTTAGGGTATGGGACACTTTACACAAAAACATGAAATGGGAATTCAATTCTAATATTAATGCCTCTCAAAAATACTGAGTATTTCCCCCCGGGAAAGAATAAAGATATCAGGGACCATGGTTTAGAAAGGAGGACACCCAACTGAGAGTGATGTCTTGGTGGAAGGGGAACTGAGATCACTTAAAAGATTTAAATAGAGAAGAACGGGAGATATTTTTATTAGAATAGATGAGTGGAAGTATCATCAATTGAAAATGTTTTATTGGAAATCTACCGAAACCCCTGAGAATAAAACAGAGTGGAATATGTTGAAAAGGTTGTTGGGGACACGAGGTGATGGGAAACACGGTATTTCAAAAGTGTATAGAATACTCACAGAATTAGACAAAAAACACAAAGTCAACTTTTATTACAAAATGGGAAAGGGACATGGGAGTTGAGTTTGACGAAGATAGACAGAGAAAGAAAGATGTTTAGATTGATACACATAATGTTAGTATGAGAGAGGTTGAGGTTAATTACAAGTGTATGACACGATGGCACATTACACCGAGTGTATAGAGCATAAGATGAATGGGGAAAACTCAAATAAGTGTTGGAGAGGATGTGGAGAGATTGGCACGGTGTTTCACATATGGTGGGAATGTCCGAAAATTCAGGCCTTTTGGAAGATAATAGTTAAACTGATTGAGGAAATAACCGAAATTGACATAGGGTTAGACCCAACGACGTGCCTCCTACACAAGGTAGAGACATCTGTAAATAAAATAAAGATTCAGGTATTTGGTACTTCTTGAATGCAGCGAAAAGGGCTGATACCCAAGTTTTGGAGAAGAGCCGAGGTACCGAAGGAGGAAGACTGGATTAACAGAGTGAACCAGATTGGTAGAATGGAAAAATCATACCATATGCATGAAGATAGGATGGGAGTGTATTCTAGGAGATGGGAAAAGTGGGAAAGAGCAAGATTGAAGGAGAAAATATAAGAAAATATAAACTAAGAGGTTAACAATAAAATGGATAAGCCTTATTAGATCAGAATGGATTGGAGTCTGCAGAGGGAAGAGGGGGGATGAGGGGCGGGAAGGGGAGATAGTGGGATGGGAAAGAAAAGAGTTCTTTTAATAAGGGAAAGATAGGAAAATGTTATAAATGTTTATTTGTATTGAGAATTTTTTTTTCCCTGTTTTGGGACTTTTGTATTTAATTATTAATATGAAAAATTTAATAAATATTTAAATTAAAAAAAAAAAATAGTAGAGGATCAGGAGGACTTGGGGAGGTGATGGGTTGAGGGTGGAGGGGGGGGGGGGAAGGGTTTTTGTAAAAAAAAAAAAAATGTAAACTGAAAATGTATGATTGCAATATTTGAAATGTGTTTTATAAAATCAATTAAAGATATATTAATAATAGAAAAAAAAATTGAACCATGCTAGAGGAATTTAGTCTATTGTCAGAGTTATTCAGACACACGCCTACCTGTTTAGGCTGAAAGTTGATTACCTGTCTGTATGTTTTTGGACCATGGCAGGGATCTAATGCATCTAAAGAGAGACTTACACAAAAGGGGAGAAATTTTTAATTTGTACATAATCCCTCATTAAAAGTATAACCCAGTAAACCAAAAGCACAACGGGAACTAACATCCAAGCAACAATGCTATTTTGTTCAAAGTATTTATCGCAGTATAAAAAAAGTAAACAAAGGATTATTGCTTTGATGTTTGATGACTTTAGTTTTTAGCATGCCCATTGTTTATACATCTTGGCACACTGCTAATTTTAGTGTATGTTTTCAGTACCTTGAAAGACTTTGAAATGATGGCAGAGATGAAACTAAAGCTGAATCCCACAAACCCCGGTAAGAAAGAAAGAGAGTTGTATTTGGTTGCCGTTGTTCCAGGGGACTCCCTTTATACATAACGCAGTTACTGTGCTTTTAATAATGGAAATATTTCACATTGTTTCCATGTTGTTCCTGTGGCAAAGCAGATCTATCTGTTCTACGAACATTTCACCTTCATTAATCGCTTCCAGTCTGCCCTATAGCAGAAATACTGCTACAGGGCAGCACGGGTGCGCAAAATCGTGTATATATACGTGATTTTGCATTTCCAAGTAGGGGACGAGTGCGCGCCCTACCCGTGCCACCATTCGCGGCTGTCAATCACCGGACCCCGGCTAGTAATTACTCACCGGCGCCCGGTGATTACCAACGATCACCGATGGGGAGGAGGACTGTTTTGTTTACTAACAGTCCTCCTCCCTATCAACTCGGGCACACTGCTCTGGATGGCTGTGCACAGCAGTGTGATTACAGTGAAACAGACACACACCGCCCCCCTAGTAAAACACTCCCTGCACACATTTAACCCTTTGATCGCTCCTCATGTTAACCCCTTCCTGCCCAGTGCCATTAGTACAGCGTCAGTGCTTTTTTTTTTTTTTTGCTAGCACAGATCACTGTATTGGTGTCACTGGGGATGTCAGTGACACCAAGTCAGTTCCCCCCAGTGTCAGAATGTCCGCTGCAGTCCCACTATAAGTCGCTGATCTCTGCCATTACTTGTAAAAGTGAAGAAAAAAAAAATCACAGTATTTATACTGCCATTTGTAAACACTATAACTTTCATGTAAACCAATTAATTTACACGTATTGGGATTTATTTTAGCAAAAATATGTCGTAGAATACATTTTTGCATACATTTCTGACGAAATTAGATTTTTTTTTATTTTTTACTGGACATGTTTAATAGCAAAAAAGTCAAAAATATTGTTTTTTTTTTTCCCTCAAAATTGTTGGTCTTTTTTTTTTCATAAAGCAAAAAATAAAAAAACGCACAGGTGATCAAATACCACCGAAAGAAAGCTCAATTCTTGGGGAAAAAATGGTGTAAATTTCATTTGCGTGCAGCATTGCATGACTGCGCAATTGTAAGTTAAAGTAACACAGCGCTGTAATGCAAAAAAATGGCCTGGTCAGGAAGGGGGTTAAATTCTCAGGAGGGCAAGTGATTATTAAAAACAAATACGAAGTGAAGGAGATACCCTTACCTACTCCCTGCAGATTTCAGATGTCATGTTTCTGGAGCAAGTTACACAGTTAACCGCTTCCCTGCCGCGCTATAGCAGAAATACTGCTACAGGGAGGCATGGCTGCGAAAATCATGTGTGTGTATGTATATATATATATATATATATATATATGTAATTTTTCACCGCCATTCGCGGACTTTGCTGTCTATCACAGGGTCCCGACCAGTCATTCCCTGCCGGCACCCAGCAATTGTCGAATATCACTGACAGAGTAGAGACCTGTATGTAAATAATACAGATCTCTCTCCTGTCAGCTCCTGCACAGTGCTTTGTATGGCTCTGCGTAGTAGAGCCATACAAAGCAGTGTGCTTACAGTATACAGCACGCACACAGTAAAACAGCACACAGTTAACCCTTTGATCGCTCCAGATGTTAACCCCTTCTTGCGCAGTGTCATTAGTACAGTGTCAGTGCTTTTTATTATTCCTGATCACTGTATTGGTGTCAGTGACACCAAGTCAGTTCCCCCCAGTGTCAGAATGCCCGCCACAGTCCCACTATAAGTCGCTGATCACCGCCATTACTAGTTGAAAAAAAAAAAAAAAATTCCAGTATATATACTGCCATTTTTAGACGCTATAACTTTCAAATAAACCAAGTCATTTACTCTTATTGGGATTTTTTTTTACATGTAGCAGAATACATTTTGGCCTAAAATTTGACAAAATTTGACTGTTTAAATTTTTATACTGGACATGTTTATCTATTTGCCTACCGGGCACTTTCACCCCCTTCCTGCCCAGGCCAATTTTCAGCTTTCAGTGTTGTTTCACTTTGAATGACAATTGCGCGGTCATGCAAAACTGTACCCATATGAAATTATTATAATTTTTTTTCACACAAATAGAACTTTATTTTGGTGGTATTTAATCATCACTGGGGTTTTTATTTTTTGCGCTATAAACAAAAAAAAAAAAGAGCAAAAAAATTTGGAAAAAAACAAACATTTTCTTTATTTCTATTATAAAATTTTGCAAACGGGTAATTTTTCTCCTTCAGTGATGTGCATTGATGAGGCTGCACTGATAGGTATCACTGATGAGGCAGCACTGGTGGGCATTGATGAGGAGTCACTGATGTTGCACTGATATGCAGCAATGATGGGCACTGCTGGGCAGAACTGATAATCAGTGTAGAATTCCTCTGTCACATTTGCCGGTTATCGGCAGTACTTTCCTCACACTGTGACAATGTGAGGAAAGTGCTGCCGATAACCGGCAACTGTATTTACTTTGTGATCTGCTGTGTCATTGGACACAGCTGATCGTGTGGTAAAAGGCTGCTGTGATTGGCCTTTTACCTGATCACGTAATCAGCTGTGTTCATCGGGCACAGCGATCACCGACCGCTCCGGGTGCGCTCCGCTGGGGGCAGAACTGGACAACTGTGCTGTAGCCATCTTTCGGCTGGGAAGCGGTTAATAGCAAAAAGTTAAAAATATTGTTTGTTTTTTTTTTGTTTGTTTTTTTTTTCTCGGTGGTTTTTTTTTTTTGTTTATAGTTCAAAAAATAAAAATCACAGAGGCGATCAAACACCACCAAAAGAAAGCTCTATTTGTGGGGGGGGATAAAAGATGTTAATTTCAATTGGGTGCAGCGTTGCATGTCCGCGCAATTTTCCGTTAAAGTAACGCAGTGCCATATCGCAAAAATGGCCTGGTCAGGAAGGGGGGTAAATCTTCTGGAGGGCAAGTGGTTAAAGCCGAGTTCAGCTTTTACATATAGCAACAGAAAGGTAGAAATAAAATACCTAAGTCCTATTTTTTTTTATTTAATAAAAAGCAATGAAATGTATTCTAAAAATATTGCAAGTGTAATGGTCTTTCTTTTTTCCTTTTAATTTTCATACTGCCAATCTAAAAGATTTCTAGGATTTCTATACGATGGGTTGTAGAATTTTGCCATTGTATCCTTCTGATTGATGTACATACTTTATTTTTTTAAGGAATTGATGCCTTGGGACCCACCTTATTATGCAGGTGTTTTGCGTGCTGAGAGGTAAGTTTTAGTGGTTGTTTATCTCAATGCAACACAGTTCCTTCCAGATCAATTATATGGTACTATGTGAAGATTTTAACATATTTATACCTGTATTGTTAAGTGACTCAAACATTCCAGTTGCTGCCACCTTCCTGAGTGCTAAGGGAGAGTGTCTGTCTGCTATATGATATAATCATTCGGAGTATTATTATAACTGGGAGGTTACTTAGTTTTTCATAGACTGCAGTTCTTGGTTGGGCAAATGGGGAGACCTCTGCATTCTAGTCTAAGGTATTTTCTTATCAGTTTTATGACCCAGTGATTTCTACTTTGGTTTCACTTTAACGCTCAACTCTATGCAATAGGAAATGAAATCTGTTATTTCCTGAAGGCTGGTATAACTTAATTGTTATAGAGTCATCATTTGTAAGTAGCTCCTGATTTTGCTGTGTTTTCAACCTGGGTGGTATTACTGCAGTGGTTACCCAAATGCAGATTCCTGTATAGTAAAAACCATACTGACTCATGTAACGTTTGTTTGTGATTTCACCAGGGATGAATGCACATCCCTACTGAAGCTTGTTGTAGAATGTGATATACTATTGTCCTACATTATTCTTGTACCGAATGTCTGACAGCAGATGGCGCTAACATATTGCAGGAACACAGAAGGGAAATGAGATGTTAGCAAGCAAAAATAAAATACCTTTCAACTTTTTCTAACCTGCATCCCAGCTGTCTCCGAACAGTGTCAAAGAAATAATTCCACAATTTGGAATGCATAAAGCAAGCTGAATTCTATTTCATGGAAGGTTTTTCAAGTTGTCAGTAAATATCTAACTCCACTTAGAGAAGAATGCCACTTTACATATTTAATATAGAGAATCTATAAAAAAAAATTTGTTTATCTGAAAAGCAGCAGAACAGTAGTGTATTGATCAACATTTATGAAACATAAGTATGCTGTCATATTCTGGGCCTTTTTATTTTTATGTTTTAAAGATATGTCAACAGGATAACCATTGAACACATAGCAGGTACATAGTTGAATTGTTTCTGCAGAATTTGTCAGTGCTTACACCAGTCTAAAAATGTGATTGGAAATTTTTACTAGGCACCATAGTGCTAAATAATAATTATGTGCTATATCCAGTAAATGACAAGAGTCAAATGTTTAACCCCTTTACGCCGACGTCACACAAATATGTGGCCTCACGGAACTGGGCTTTTTTCCGTGCTGCACTCCCAGCACAAAGACCGCAATGTCACTTAGAGCCCCGGGTCCCGTTCTAACGATCGGGACCCATGACTCCCAATTCCGGGTCACATGATCGCTGTGATAGCCTCCGATTAGTTATCACAGTGACCAGTCACTGTGCAGCCCGGCCCCCTTGTTTTTTTCTCTCTTTATGAATGGAGGAGAGAGATACATTGTATCTCTCTAACTCCTGGCATAGAGAGAAAAAAAAAGTTTGTAAAAAAATATATATATATATAAATTAAATATTAAAAAATAAAATAAAAAATAATTTAATCTGAGAACTAGAGGGAAATGGGGCTAAATGCAGTAATCAAAGAACTGGAACAGAATAAAGGAATTGGTGAAGAAGAGAGGAAACTTGAAAGGAATTAGGTAATATGCAAGAGTAGGTGACCAAGAGGGGAATGAGGCAAAAGTAGGAATCAGAGACCAAGTGGGGAATTGTACAAAATGTAGGAATTGGAGAACAATATGGGAGGGGACAGAATGCAGAAATCTGAGAACAAGAGGAGAATGGAACAGAATGCAGAAATCGGAGAACAAGATGGGTAAGGGCTAGAATGCAGGAAATGGAGAACAGGAGGTTTAACGATTGTGCGCAATAGGGACATGAAAGCTGTAGGCAAAAGCCATCTTGCTAAGGTTTCAGCCATTCCAAACTGTGGAATTTGTAGCTGTAAGTTTTAACGAACTTCAAAAGAGCCTCTTAACTAACAGAAATAGAAGCAGCGTCAAGGCTTGGTCAGAGCTGTAAACAGCTTATTAGTCTTGGCAGGATGTCTGTTTCCAGGAACCAAGAAAAACTCTTCCCACTGACCTATCATAAGACACTAATTACTCAGTCAAGCCTGTCACACATGACCTGTAAGGCCATTAAAGCTCTTGAAATGCAGAGCGTGCCATAGAGCATCTATTCCACAACCTAACAATTCCACATACAATTCATAAAATTCAACAGGAACAGGACACATTAATATTAGCTAAATATTTGAATGGGGAATATCATACCGAATAAATCAAGGTCATACATAACCACCCTAGCACGTACGCAAGGAGAGAAAGCAGTCTCCTCCCTCTTGGGTGACAAAAGTGCGCTGTGTTTGGTATCCCTGGATAGGAAACCTAATTCTGAATAATATTCTGTCAGTTTCTAGAATACCACCTGCACGTATTAGAAGTTACTAATATTAGTGTAAAACACTAGTTGGGACTTGGTCATAAACGTGGTGGCCTCCCAGCACCCATCCCTTAAACCGGATGAATGGTCAGTTGTTCTCGGCACTCCTTTGATATCACAGAAAAGGGAATGACAGGACCTAGTAAGCAAGCTCTCATTTAAAATCAACCAAGGAACACCCAAGAGAGCCAAGGCAACGTTTTTGCTTGGACAGTTGGACTCTGCTGAAACCAAGGACTTTGCAAGTATTCTCCATTTTCACCTCCTTCTTATTTCTCTGTTCTGTTCTGTTCTCTTTTTTTTCTGTTGCGTTATTGTTCTGTTTGTCTTTGTAATATCATTTTCTGTAAATATTTTATTTTTTGCCCCATTTGACCTTTTCATTAATAAACCATATTTTGAAAAGTGTTAAAACTATCTCTAAGGCTTTTAATGCAAACTACAGAATCCCTGTCTCTTGAAGAGTGCTACTGATAATAATCCTCTGAATATACCTGTCTGTGGTGACAGTGTGTGTTGCAGATGTTTATGCTAAAATCCTAAAGTTATTGCTAAGATTTGTGAGTTTCCTCCTCTGTAAAAAGGTGGTGGCAGTTTAAAGGGTTAATTGCTTAATTTACCCAGTGACAATCACTTTCAGGCTGCTGGCACATAGATTGTGGTCCTATGAGCTGGAAAATCTTTGTTGAGGGTGCAACTGAGAGTGGCATTGTTACGCAGCTGACTGCGCGGTGTGATATTGTTTGGTCCTTTGTAAAGAGTTAGTGAGAAGGATAAGGTCGGGCACCGCATTCGTCACAGGAGGAACATGGACAGAATGCAGGAATCCGAGATCAAGAGGGCAATGGGACAAAATGCAGTAATCTAAAAATGAGGGGATTTGGAATGTAGGAACTGGAGAACAAGGGGAGAAGATGCAGTTAAGGAATCATGGAACAAGGAGATTGGGACAGTATGCAGAAGTTGGAGAACAAGGTGGAATTGGAAAATGATAGGCAACTGGACAAAATGCATAAATCTGAGAACAGTGAAATGGGACAAAATGTAGTAATAAGAACAGGGGATTACTCACAGAATTCAGGAATTGTAGAGATAAGATGGAAAGAGACAGAACACAGGAATCAAGAAAGCAAGAGGGAAATGGGTTAAATTATAGTATTTAGAGAACCAAAAGGAAGTTTGGAAGTGTAGAAGGCAGAGAACAAGATTGATTGAGGGAGAGTGTAGGATGCACAAAAAAAGAGAGAAAATGCAGAGTGTTGAAGCCAGAGACCATTACGGAAGTGGGACAGTTTAGGATGCAGCGAGCAAGGGTGAATTGGGACAGAATATAGGAGAGGAGAGAACGAGATGGGTTGGAATAAAATTATTAGTGACAAGAGTATGTTAGAACCAGAAAGCAATGTTGTGGGTAGTAGGAGGCAAGAACAGAGGGGTAAGATAAAAGAATAGGAAGCAGATACCAAAAAAGTGAATTCGTATTCAGAACAAGTGGGAAGTGGCATATAGGGGTTGATTTACTAAAACTGGAGAGTGCAAAAATTGGTGCTGTTGTGCATAGAAATCAATTATTATTATACAGTATTTATATAGCGCCAAAGGGTATGCTCAGCGCTGTACAGTAGCAAGGGGGACATAACATGAGACAGGACAGTAACAATACACTACACGAGGGGTTAGAGGGCCCTGTTCTTTCGAGCTAACAATCTAGGAATCGGCTTCCAGGTTTTTTTTGTCAGCCTAATTAAAAAAACTGAAGTTAGGCTGCTTTCACACTGTAAGAACTCCTGCTTGCAGCATCTTTGAGGCAAGTTTTGGGAGTTTGCATGTTCTCCTTGTGCCTGTGTGGGTTTTCTCCGGGTACTCCGGTTTCCTCCCACACTCCAAAAACATGCCGTTAGGTTAATTGGATCCTGTCTAAATTAGCCCTAGTATGTGTATGTATGAATGTAAGTTAGGGATTTTAGATTGTACACCCCTTGAGGGTTAGGGACTGATGTGAATGTACAATATATACAGTGGGGATCGAAAGTTTGGGCACCCCAGCTAAAAATTTGTAATAATGTGCATAAAGAAGCCAAGGAAAGATGGAAAAAATCTCCAAAAGGCATCAAATTACAGATTGGACATTCTTATAATATGTCAACAAAAGTTAGATTTTATTTCCATCATTTACACTTTCAAATTAACAGAAAACAAAAAAATGGCGTCTGCAAAAGTTTGGGCACCCTGCAGAGTTAATATCTTGTACTGCCCCCTTTGGCAAGTATCACAGCTTGTAAAAGCTTTTTGTAGCCAACCAAGAGAGTCTTTCAATTCTTGTTTGAGGTATCTTTGCCCATTCTTCCTTACAAAAGTCTTCCAGTTCTTTGAGTTTTCTGGGCTGTCTGTCACGCACTGCTCTTTTAAGGTCTATCCATAGATTTTCAATTATGTTGAGGTCAGGAGATTGTGAAGGCCATGGCAAAACCTTCAGTTTACGCCTCTTGATGTAATCCCCCGTGGATTTCGAGGTGTGTTTAGGATCATTATCCATTTGTAGAAGCCATCCTCTCTTTAACTTCAGCTTTTTCACAGATG